AAGAAAGCATATTACTTCATAGCATTAATCAATAGATTATCAATAAAAGTCTTATTGAATGAAGGAGCAAGCACAAATATCATAGGATATGACTTAGCAAAGCAATACAAATTAATAGATTCATTAATAGAATCATCAATCAAAACTGCTCAATTACCTGGTGGAAAAACAATTAAAAACTATAGAAAGGTTGAAGTAAACTTCCAAGAAGATAATTATATTAGCAAAATTAAAATAACAATTATAGAAGGAACCCACCATACTTATTACTCTCTGAACTGATCAAGCTCAACTTAACATTTCAAAGGATCGAGAATGACATATCACAACCATTAACGGTTTACCAATAAACTACTAGGATATAGATGAACATTACTAAATAACCAAGGGGTATATGTTTAACAACCTAGTTCAAAGGGTACCCCCGCGTGCCTTGAGAATCTCAGAGTCTAAGCTAGCCTTATATCTCAAAAAATTGGACACCCTCTAAAGCTGCGAAAAACCCCCTCAATGGTGCCCAACATGGTATTGAACAGTATGAACCACACCCTAATACCAATAACCAATGGTAACCAGATGGCGTCCATCCAAAAAAATAGATCGACAAAGAATATTATAACCTGAAATACAAGAGATTACTTAATAAACTAATACCACAATCTCTAGACAAACAACAATACTTGTTACAAAAACAAGTACAAAAGAATAAACAAAAACAAAAACTAATTGGCACAACATGTGATGGCATATAGACTAATATAGTAAGAACTGCTCTAGCAACTAATTCTAACCTGCTACAAATATTCCTAACTTATAAAGAAATAAATAGTAATTTTAAAAATGATCAAGAAAGGAAATACGCAATGTTACAAAATAGCAAACCAGATAAACAAGAGGATAATAATATTATCCTGGGTAATAACAAAATTGGGCTAAAAATGGTACTACATATTATATTAGGATTATATATTAATTAACTATTGTATAGGCACAATAGTCAGAGAAATTGAAAAATAGATAGAATACTAGAAGAATTAGCATGTGTATAAAAAATGAATATAAAATGAACTACAATATACATAGGAACACTAGCTAAAAATAAACAGCGATCAGATGTAATTGACAATATTAATGAAATATTACACGTAATAAAGAACCACCAATGGGAAATTAGATTACTATTAGAAAACTCAGCTAGCAATAACTGCTTTGGTGCAACCATTCCAGACCTCATGGATATAGTGAATAGTATAAGTCAAGAGTTAAGATATAAAGATTAGTCAAGACTAAAGAAGCAAATAGGCATATGTTTCGATACACAGCATTGGTATGCTGCAGGGCAAGGCAAGTATGTATACGAGTATAGAAACGTACTGAATATATACAGAAATAAGATCATGTTGATACACATGAATAATAGCCTGTCCGAAGTGATATTCAGAAAAGGAATAGATAAACACGCATACCTATTGGATCCAGAAGTGAGTATACAACAAGAAGTATACCAAATAATAATACAGCATAAAGAGGTCTATGCTATAGTAATAGAGACACTATCAACAAATCTATCTAATTAAATAGCACAAATATATGAAATCTTTAAACTAAGAGAATGGGCTGAAGACATAATAGAACACAAAGAAACAATACAAGAAAAGTGGTCAAAAGAAAAAGACCAAGAATTAAAAGAAAGTAATTATGAATATAATGAAAGAATACAATTCTATTAGGAATAGAATTTGAAGATCCCGAAAAATAAAGTCTCACAAATCAAATACAAAGAATGAAAATGGGAACCTTTATAAAAGGAAAATTATTATATTTAGATAAAATACTACAACAAGAAGAAGAGTCAAAAGATCCAAAATTAGTACTAGAAATTTAACAACTAAAACAACAGCTCGACAATATAGAAAAATATTATAAATACATCTTACAATTATCAGAAGAACAAACTGATGAATATCTCAAAGAAATAAAAAAGATAACCAAAGCAAAATTACGAATAGCTAAAAAAGCTGAAACAAGAAAAGTATACTTATATCAGACAATACAAGCATTAACTGAAACCAATGATGTGATACTATAGAAAAACAGAGATATAGTAGACAAAATAGAAGAAGCTTATGCAACAGACTTATAACTAACGCTAAACATGGACACTAATAACTTCAATCAACTACATGATTATGAGAAACAACTCATAATGCAAAAACTACTAGAATTAATAGAATTCTGTTAATATGAACTAACTAGAATTCAAATGCAAAACAAATATCAAGAACTACTAGGAGTATCATATGCAAATATAAGAAAAATAGAAGATGAAGATGAAATAGAAAACCAAATGTTCCAACAACAACAAATAAGAACCAAACCAAAACCAATAATATTTCTACCAAAGAAACCATATCACGACTTATACAAACCAAATGATAACAGACCAAGAACACCACCTCCAAAAATAACAATAGGTCAGAAACAACACAAAGTAATAATAAAGATGAAGAAGATCAAGAAAATACTTGGTATTTAGATCCAAATGCAAGGACAAAAATTGGG